TTTTGGTACTGGGGATCGAACTCATGACCTTGTGCTTGCCAGGCAGGCGCTTACGCCACTGAGCTATATCCCCAGCCCAGAAATGGTATATATCTTGATCTTGGTTGTGGTTACTTGATTCTGTAATACAAAAATTCCTAGAGCTGTATCCATAAAATAAGCACATTTAACTATGTGTATATATCAACTTTAAAAGAACTTTACTAATCTAGAAAAATGTATGTTTTAAAAATAAAATGAAATACTCTTAATTGAGACTTTAAAAATTTTGTTCAAACAGACCCATATTTTGCCTTGACCTTCCCCACACCATAACTCCATGAATGTACCTTTATATTAGAGGTCAAAAACAAGCAAGATCAAGGTGGTTGTTGTGACACACACCTGGAATTAGCACTAGGAAGGCTGATGCAAAAGGATCACTGTTGAGTTCAAGGCTGGTCTGGGCTACATAGTGAGTTCAAGTCCAATCTGAACTACATGATGAGATACTGTTCAAAAAAAATAGCCAATCTGTGATATTAGAAGTTGGGAGGATGCTTCCTATTGGCAGAATGACTGGAAGGGCATACCATGGGGGATTTTGGGGTGGTACAAATGCTATTTTCTGACCTAAGTGTATTATTCACAGGTGCTTTCTTTGTAACAGTGCATTGAGCTGTATGTGTACATATATTTTCTGCATGTATCTTAAATCTCAAAAGTTTTATAAGGAACTGATTCACGGAGGTCAAACATACCTAAAAAATACAAGGTAAGCCAGGGATGGTACATATGCCTATAGTCCCAGTACTCTGGTAGGATAAGACAGGAGAATCATAAGTTCCAGCTCAGCCTGGGTAATTTAGTGACTTATCTCAAAATTTTAAAAAATGGTTGGGGATGTAGCTCACTGTGAAGGCCCTAGGTTTATCACAAAACAAAATAGATCAAAGCAATGGCTCTTAGAATACAGTAAGTTTCTTTTCCTTTCATAAATTATTTTTTAAGTTTAGCCTAGAAAAAATATCTTACAAACTCAATTTGCTTTTTTAGTCAAATCTTACATTATCAGCTTAGATACTTACTCAGTAAACTTTTTGTTTGCTAACCATAGGCAAGGTCACATCCATCCTGGTTGCCATGGAGTATGGGATGATGGGTATGTGATCACCTTTGCCAGGAAGAACCCTAGAGGAAATATGAGAAGAAATATGCATTAGATTCCTGACAAGAGCAAAAGAAGCTACATCTTTAATTACGTTACTTTAGTAAGTATTGGATCCTTTCAAAGCATTTTCATTATTGTGAGGGAGCTATTTTTAAAAGGAGGGGGTTTCAAAAGAGTTTTGAGGTGGCTATTGGCCAAGAGGGACTGAATGGAGCTGGTTTCTCAGCTTGGGAGTGCCATATCTGTGAAATGTTTATCCATTATATGGGGTTCCAGACTCAAATCCTTCGCTCTCCTGTGAACAACCTCTGAATTTCACAGCATCCTTATCACCAACCCCATAAGGTTCCAAATGACAGATGTATACAGTGTCTCCAATCACAATCCCCCAAATCTAAAAAGTCCAGTATCCTATAGTCATCAATATCCTGATATGTCCAAGTCTAACCACAGAAAACCACTGGTCAGTGACTACAAAGTTCACTGACACAATCTGATTGCCAAACAGCAAACTGCACAGATGAGTCATGAACCTGTGCTGATCTCCAGTGATATTCCAATGACTGAAGACCAACAGCCGATCGCACAGTCCTGTTTCCACACTGACAGCCCCAACCATGAACCCGCTGTGATCTCTCTATACCTCATTCCCAGATCTACAAAAATTCAATCATGAATACCTTTGGATTCTCCATCAAGGATCTAAGAACGTCTCAATCACTAATGGCCCAAAGCATGTCTTCACATATTGACCCCCACTGACTCTCTCATCATGGAACCCCAAAGTTTCCACAATCATCAATTCCCGTAGCCAAGATATTATTGCCCATAGAACTTACAATTTCCAATCACTGACCCTCTCAGGCTTTTCACCACTAAGCCTCAATGCACTCTAAAAGACTGCCTTTGAAAAATTCCACTTGGCCCCACACCCATGAAGACCATAACTGACCACCAGCAGCACCCTGCCAATCAAGACATTTTACAGAATCCTCGTTTATTAATTCCCGGGCACTCCCAATCTGTCTTCACAGAGCCCCTGTCAGTAATCCCCACAAACCTCCTCCCGCCACGAAGCGCCAACGAAGCTCAGGAGCCAAATCACTTAACATTTCATTTCCCTCGCCTTGACCCTTATGGGTATCCATAACTGACCCAGTCAGGCCACCGTAGTCTCAGGTCATCATCCTGCGCAGATTAAAGCTTTACTTTCTCTAATCATTTCCACTTACCCGGATCGTGCCTCTAATCCGAAATTTCTCTCATTAGAAAGCTGCTTCATCGCAGTACAAGCTCTTTGCAGCCCGAGGAGCCGGCGCGCAGACTCAGTCGCGATTTTGAGGCTGTGGGCCGCCACTAAGCAACCTTCCAGAGAACAGGATTCTGGGGTTTCAGAATTTCAATGGGCGGTATGATGGCCGCACCCTCTCGATAATCACTTGATGGGAGCGGCCATGCTTTAAATTTTTCCGTACAACGAGTGAACAAACCCTTACGCCAAGGGGTAATTCGCTATTTTAAGGCGGGGTGAAGCAAGTGCCTCAAGAACCAGTTCTTGTCACTGCTCTTAGTGCCACAGACGCCTAAACTTCATGTGACCAATATGCAGGTCCCCGGACTGCGAAATTGACGTTTCTTTGTCTCCAGAAGCTCAGGACGTTAAGTAGGTTAGACACATACATTTTGATGGCTTCTTCCTCGCAACGGGCGTGGTCATCTCCTAAGGGGAGCTCCCATATAGTAAGATAAAATTTTTCACAGGCAGAACCAGGAGTTGGAGCATGGTGACGTTACTGACTCTTAAAGTCTGAAGTAGCCAGTGGAGGGGCTGAGCTTCACAGAGGGCGCAGCCTCGAGGAAGGGGCGGGGTAGAAGGAGGAGCCAGAGTAGAAAGTTACTAGCCCTTTACTGAAAAGATGTTCAAGTCAGGGTCATTATCTTAAGTGGCTGGCCCCAGAATCCGACCTGATAAAAAATATGAACGCAAACAGTTTATCCGGTAGGTGAAACGGGGGAAGGATGGAAATCAACAGAAAGCATCAATGAGCAAATACCTTGTGAGCAATAGAAGTTCATTCTTCTTGAGCTCTGGGAGATTACTTAGAAAACAGCTCCAGTGTCCCACCCAAAGCCTAAGAAAGCTGACTTATGTATGCGCCACTGCTCGTCCTTACTGATTTAAGGGCTACTTTTCGGGAGTTAAAGCCAAGCCTGGTCTCCAATAGTCTTGCAGCTGCATACAGTCTGCGGAGGGGATAACGAGTCCTCAGGGGGAAGTGTCAGGGTACCGACAGCATTCGCTGGAGTCCTGCCTTGAATTCCACCTACAGCAGTGCTCTGCACATTACAAGCATTGGAACATCTCTAGAAATCGTTGCTTTATCCTATGAAAATAGCTTTTTAAGAAATCCTTATTTTGGGGGCACAGTACTGTTGCCTTAATCTCCCTACTCCGGAGACTGAGGCAAGAGGACCACAAATTCGAACTCAGCTTTGGCAGTTTAGCAAGACCCTGCCTCAAAATGAAATGAAGAAATGAGAAGAAATAAAGAGATGAAAATAAAACGGGGTGAGTATGTAACTCTGTGGCAAAGCACTTGCCTAGCATGCTCAAGGCCCCGAGTTCCATCCCCAGCACAGGAAAAAACAAAAATCCTAACTTCAATGGTCATGATAGGAATAGGATATAACTGACCTCTAAAGTGGTTTCTAATGATGCCTAGTATTCACACTCTTGTGTAGTCCCCTCCCACATAGTGGCAGCGTTGGTCTGTGAGACTAATACAAAAGTGATGATGCATCGCTGGTGAAATTAGGTTATAAAAGATACCTTCACTTCTGTCTTAAAGCTGCTGTTGTTCTGCAGACGCTGAGACAATCTATGAAGGGGCCCATGTAACAAGAAACTAGACTTTTAGTCAATACCCTGGGAAGAATTGATCTCTTCTATAACCAAGTCAGTCATCTTGGAAGCAGATCTTTCAGTTCTTGAGACAGCTGCAGGCTTGGCCAATATTTGATTGCAACTGCAGGACTCAGTCAAAGCCACCTAGCTGGGGTTGACAGTACAGATAGGTGGTAGAACACACAAGACCCTGGACTTCATCCCCAAAACCAGAAAAAAAAAACTATGAACCAAACCAACAAAAAACTCTACACAACTACATCAGCAATCATTCCTGGCCCACAGAAAGTACTTGCGACCACTAAATGTTACTTTTAAGCTGCTGAGTTTGAAACAATTTGTTGTGTATCAGTAGTTGAAGCTATGGTAAAATACTGTATTTAACATTTCTGAATTCCTTAACTTCTTAAATTTGTGAGATTATTAGCAATTCATCTTCTATATGATAGAAAAATTGAAGGACTATGACTGCTAGATTTTAACAATTTATCTAAACTTTAGCCTTATATCATTTGAATATAATAATATAGTGGTTTATGTGACGGTACTTTGATTATTAGTAGTTGGTAAAAGGGACTATAGAGTGCCTATTACATGTGTGCCCTGTTTCTACTCCCCTACTCATTTCTTTTTTTTTTTTTTTATTTTTTGGTTTTTGTCTGGTACCGGGAACCGAACTCACGACCTTGCACTTGCCAGGCAGGCGCTTTTGCCACTGAGCTAAATCCCCAGCCCCTCCCCTACTCATTTCAATGGTTGGTCATATTCTAGGACAAACTGATGAGCTTCACAATTGCTAAATTGCCAATCAACTACATGATAGCAGAAATATGACAATTCAGAAAAGGGGAAAGATGGAAATATTAAAAACTGCTATCATTAAAGACTGCAGAAAACTCTGAGGGTATTGTTATCATCACCAAGTGAGAAAAACTTCAGGTGAAGTGACCTGTCCATGATCACTGTTAGTGTAGAAAGTAAAGCTACAAGGAATCAGAGATAGGTATGTCTGTTGTGTTTGATTTGTGTTATTGTAATAAATACCTTAGCTATATCAATTTGAAAAGGGCAAAGATTTATTTTGTCTCACAGTATGGAGGTTACAGTCCGTAATCAATTGGCCCTGGTGTTTTGGGTCTGTGGCAAGGCAGAATGCTATGGCAACAGTGTGTGACAAAACCTTTCGCCTCATTGCCATTAGGGAAAGAGAGGAAGAGGATCCCGCAATTGAGGGTCCCACAGTCCCCTTCAAGGTCACTGCCCTAGTGATCCAAAGACCTCCTGATGGGCTTCACCTCCTACATGTTCTGCCACTTCCAAATGACACCATGGGCTGGGGACCAAGAATTTAACACGTGGGCTTTTGGAAGACAGTCAAGATTTAAACTATAGCATCTGTGTTATACAAAGGCACAGGGTCATATTATTACTAAATTTACTAAACATTTGTCAAAACATCAACATATCTAAGGTTCTGAATTAGGAAACAAAGAGGGGCATATATATATATATGTATATATATATGTATGTATATATATATCCATATATACATATATGCTGTTGGGGTCCTATTCAGGAACTTTTTATCTATGACTATGGGTTCAAATGTTTCCCCTATGTTTTCTTTTAACAGTTTCAATGCACTCCATTATGTAAAATAAAAAAACAACCCACATCTTCTTTATCCAATCATCAGTTGATAGGCATTTGGGCTATTTCCTAGATTTAGGAATTACAAACTGTACCGTCATAAATATAGGTATGCATGTATCACTGCGGTATGATGCTTTTAATTCCTTCAGGAAAATACAAAGAAGGGAGATAGCTGGGCTGAATAGAACCTCTAGTCCTATTTTTTTGTTTTATTTTGTTTTGTTTTTTGGAACCGAGAATTGAACTCAGGACCTTGCACTTGCCAAGTAGGCGCTTGTTCTGCTGAGCTATAACCTGGCTAGTCCTACTACTGAGGAATCTCCACACTGATTTCCACAGTGATTGCACCAGTCTACAGTCCCACCAACAGTGAAGAGTTCCTTTTTCCCCACAGCCCTACCAGAATTTGTTATTGGTTGATTTCTTGACAATAGCCATTCTTTCTGGGGTGAAATAGAAACTCAGCATTGTTTTAATTTGCATTTGTCAAATAACCAGTGATGTTGAATGTTTTTTCATATATTTATTTCTATCTCTACTTCTTCATATGAGAAATACCTATTTCAGATTCCCATTTTTAAATTGGGTCTTTAAATTTGGGGCAGTCTAATTTTTTTGAGTTTTTAAAATATCCTGCATAGTATTCCTTTGTCTGAGGAACAGCTGGCAAAAATCTTTTCCCACAGTGTGGATTGTCTTTTCACTGTCTTGGTGGGTTTTCTTGCTGTGAAAAAGCTTTTTCTCTTTCTTTTGGTTAGCTTGGTTAAGGATGTATCAATCTTATCTTTCAAAAGAACCAACTCTTTATTTCAGTGGCCATATCTATTGCTCTTTTAGTCTCTACTTTAATAATTTCAGCTTGAATCCTTTTTTTCCCTTCTGTTGGGTTTGGTTTGGGTTTGGGTTTTTCCCCAAAAAAGGAGATAAATGATTAAGTTATTTGAGATCTCTCTGAAACTTTTATGTTGACACTCATAGCTATAAACTTTCTCCTTACAACTGCCTTTGCTGTATTTCAGGGCTTCTAGTATACTGTATTTACATTTTCATTTGATTCTAGATATTTTTAATGTGCTTCCTGATTTCTTCAGTGATCAGTGGATTATTCAAAAGCGAATTGTCTGACTTCACTGTTTTTGTGTAGTTCCTGTGGTTTATTTTGCTGTTGATTTCTAGTTTCATTGCATTATCATCTAATAAGATGCAATCAATTTTTTCATTTCTTAAGGCTTGTTTTATGGCCTAAACTATGATATTATGAAGAACATTCCATGAACTACTAAATAAATGTGTATTCTGTAGTTGTTGGATAGAATGTGCTGTTAAGAGACCTGTTAAGTCAGTCTAATCTACACTGCAGTTTCACTCTCACGTTTCTTGAGATTTTTGTCCAAATGACCTATCTATCAGTGAAAATAGAGTATTCATGTTATCCACTACTAATATATTGATACCTATGTGTCCCCTTATGTTGAGTAGTGTTTATCTTATGAAATTCAGTTAGCTTATATTTGGAGAATGTATAACTGTTACATCTTCTTGCTGGATTCTTCTCTTTACCAATATGTACTTGCCTTCTGTCTTAATTATTTTTATCCTTGCCAAGACAAAATACTCATCACTTATAAATGAAGATTTATTTAGCTCACAGTTTACAGAGGTTGCAATCCGTAGTCAGCTAGTTCCGAAGCAGAGTGGCATGGCAGAGGGGCATCACAGAGAAGAAACAGTTCATGGCATGGCAGGGAAGGCAGAAGGCAGCAAGCAGCAGCCTGCTTTCCTTCTCTCCCTTTATATATCATCCAGGCTGTAAGACTATTGATTGGGATGCCACCTACACCCAGAGTGGAACTTCCATTACCCACAACCTTAATCCCAGTATCACAATCTTAACCTACATTCACACATGCTAATCAACCACTTTCAAAACTCCCCACATATGACTTCACAAGTCTTTAGGGAGACATCTAAATACAAGCCATAACACCTTCTATGTCTTGCCCAATTTTGCCTTTAAATTTGCTATGTCAGATATGAGTATAGATGCTCCTGCTTACTTTCAGTTTCCATTTATATGAAATATTGTTTCCCATCTTTTCACTTTGTTTATATATATCTTCATTAGTGAAGTATGTTTTTTGCAAGCAGTAGAATTGGGTCTTTTTTTAATCCAATTTTCTAGTTTGTGTCTTTTAATTGAAGAATTAAGACCATTTACATTCAAAGTTATTATGGAAAGGTATGTGCTAATTCCTGAGGGGAGGATGTTTTGTTTTTCTAGTGTTTGATTCATTGCCAATTCTAAATAGCTCATCTATTCTTCCTCTTCTGTGTGTCAGGTTACTTGAAGTATCTTAGTGGTCCAATGCTGGCTTAGTGGTCCTATGTGGGAAATGGTTGAATTTGCAGATTGATCACACGTGTAGGGCTAAAGCATGGCTAGCCCAGAGAACAGAGTACCTGAGGTGAGCCACATGAATAAGCTGCTCCAGCCCTGAGAACACTAGGTGCCTGAGGTGAGCCATGTGAACAAGCTGATAGGCAGAGGGGTGTCACATGACATCAACCTGTTGAGTGTATAAATAAATATGCTGCAGTCGTTTGACATTTATTTTCTCCCTTTTGGAGAGAAGGCTCCATCTGACCTCAGCTTTCTCCATTCTGACTCTTATCTTCAAATCTTCATCCTCCACTATCTGCCTCCCAGGAATTTGGAGAGCTGTGATGGATGAGGCAGTCATAACTTTATTTAGTTTATCTTGGAAGGTCTTTGTTTCTTCTTAAATTTTTTTAGTAATTGGAATTGAACTAAGCTACATCCCTTCCCATTTTTTATTTTTTTTTATTTTGAGGCAGATTCTCACTAAATTGCTAAATTTCCCAGACTGAGCTTGAATTTGCAATCCCCCTGCCTCAGCTTTCCAGAGATTATAGGTATGCAGT